AGAAAACGAGGAAAAGAAACAATAGTGCGAAAGGAAGGGAGAGAAAGAGAGAGAGAGAAAGAGAGAGAGAGAGCTTGAAACTTTGAGCGAAAGATATAAAACGCGCGCGTGTGTGTGGTTGCGCGAGTGAAAAGATACGAATTTTCCGATCGAAATATAATCACATATAATCTGAAAACAGTGCTTCGACCATGATTCGAGAGGCTGTTGAAAATCAGTGTGCGTGGAGAAACGAAATTTCCAGAGGCTGAGCAACTTGTTTCTCGGTTCTCGATGCATACGTGGATGTCTCTTGTTTCTTGACCCCTTCCGTGACGCGACGTTTTCCTTTTCGTTCTGTTCGCTGAACACGGTTTGTTTACACGCGTGCGCGCCTACGTTCTTTTTTCCCGCGTTTATCGTCGTTTTAACACTTTTTCATCGTGATCCGTGTACACTCGGAATCGAATGTGAGACGAGAGACGATGCGACGAGTGATACGTGTGTACGTGCGAATGATGAAACATGTGTGTATGTATGTATATATGGGAGAGAGAGAAAGAACGAACAAAGTGGGTGAGCAAGTGTTGAGGATGCGTGCAAGCGAGACAAACAGCGAGACACTGTGCGCCTATATATGTATATCTGTATATAGGTACCATTTTCAACCGCTACCGTTGTTTCTTTCATACTATTTCTTCTCCTTTTTTTTTTATTACTATTACGATTTTATTATTATTATAATTATTATTATTATTATTATTATTATTATTATTAATATTGATTATATTATTATTGTAATCGAGATGTATTTTCTGTTGGCTTTAGATTTTGTTCCTTTATTTTTGTACGAGAACCGTTTTACCTTTACTAAGTGTGCGTTAAGTAAGCTATATAAGAACATTTTTTTCTTACCGTCAATTCGACGATCCATCCAGATGGATCTATTGCGCGAATGACGCCAATCGTTAACGAAGATCGTCAACAAAAAAAAAAAAAAGGAGATCTCTTATCGAACAATGTTAATTTTTCAAGAAACGATAAACGTGAAAACGATCAGCGATGTTCGCCATTTTTTTCTTAGATATTAAGATCACCTTTTTCACCAATATATATATATATATATATATTTCCTCCTTTTCTTCTTTTACTTTTTATTTTAATTCTTTTATTATTTTTTTTTTCTTTTTGATAGTTTGTTATTGTTGTTTTTGTCCTTTTTTTTGTATGACATATTTGATTATATCAGCGTGCTTCGCTCCTCTAATATATATACCATTATATATATATATATTTTTGTTAATAATATAAGTGGTTTGACATAATTACAGTTACAGTGATTATCCTGTTGTAACGGATTTGTTTTCTATATCTCTTACGATCCACGAATGAGTTATTAATATAT